CAGCTGGGCCACCAGGATGGATTATGGTCTATGTAAAACAATCTTTTCCATTCGCTAATGCCAAAGCATTGCTCAATGTTGTTACCAATCTAATTAATTAAAGCACATCTCTAGAAAAATAATACTCCATCCCCGATTCACTTATTTTTCCTACCATTAGACCAGCAGAGTCGGGGACTATGATCTGATTCGCTGATACAATTTGAAACAAAGGTCGCTCGTTGATGGTGGTATCAGGATTAGCTCCAAGAATCACAGCTGCAGCCGCATCAGAAAAATATTGCAGAGTCGACGAGTATGTCTAAACGTATCTTTACGGTGGTTAGAAATACTGAACCATGAGCTCAGAGTGTTGTATTAAAATTTTGTAGAATTTGGTGATTGGGAACTACTGGAATCGATGAAGAAAAGAAATGAAGAAAATGACTTGACCGAGATTTAAATAACTCAAAACCAAAATATTTAAAATCGAAAGGATTTGAATCTAAAATGGTGTAAAATTATTATAAATAATTTCATTGAATTGACGTGATTGGAAATAATTCAAACTTAAAATAATTTATAATTTTTTCTTAATTCGAACCAATTTGATTTGAAATCAAAATAATTTAATTTTTCCTTGACCTAACTTAATTCCTACCCAATTTCATTTGTCTATTTGTATCCAATAATTAGAAGTGAAATTATAAAAACAGAGACTTTTAAAAAAAAATGGTAAATCTAAAAGTTGAATTATTTAATAAATTTTTTAGAAGATACAAAACATAAAACTGGTTAAAATCATTATATTTTTTATTAAGTATAAAATTTTTTATGAAATTACAAGTATAAATTTCAATCATAATCAATATTATACTCACATTTAAAAACTTACTGAATAATTAAACAAACAAACTTAAAACAGAGTACATGAACGATATGGTTAATTCGATTGTCAAAACTAACTTAGTTAATTTAATTTACAATCAAACAGAACTTACCAACCAATGTAAAGAAAATTGAGAATAACTGAATAGATTTGAGCTGATTGATTACGATCAGTTTTTTTGATTTAATCGGTCACTATCAATATAATAACAAAGCATACCTTTGCTTTATTTACTTAAACTAAGGGTGAGAAAAAAATGAGAAACTAAAAAATTAACTCAAAATCGTATTGTTCGGCTCGGTTCAAATTATTATTTTTTATTCGGTTCGGATTAAGTTCAGGTATTAAAGGTATATATTAAGTTCGGATTAATTTCAGATCAAGATGTGAAAAATTGAAGAAAAAAAATTGAATCAAACCAAATTATATATTTTTATTATTTTTTAAAAATTTTAAATTTTTATAAAATAAAAATAATTATTGTATATATAAATCTATTTAAATATATTAAAAATTTTATTAAAATAATATATAAAAAAACAAAAAAATTACTTTTAAAAATCGATAAAGCGAACCAAATGGTAGAATTCAATTTAAATCGGATTGATTTCAAGAGAATGTCAGTTCAGATTCAAATTGGATTTTAAAAATTCATAATACTATACATTATCTAAAAAAAATCAAATATAATCTGATTTAAACCATTATCACCCTTAACTCAAACATAGAAATTGATGAAAAACTTGAAACCTCTTATTTTGCTTGGCTTTAATGGATGTTTCATCACCAAATAAAAATATTGGAATTTTTTATATCCAATAAAAAATCAAATCAATAACAATTCATAAAACTAGACAACTTCCATGTGGACGAACCTTCTTATCAAAGATAACCTAAAGATTGTACCAAAAATTAAAGATTATTAAAAAAATATCATATTCTGAAAAGGAAACAACTTTTAGCAAAGCATTCACTATCATCATTGCTTTTATTTAAACCTGAAAAAGAAAATCCATCAATCAAATGGGAAGGGATAAATCACAACCAAAATTCTCAACGTGTTCATGGGAATAAAAGCAACTTGCATTACTTCAAAGCAATCTATTGTTAAGAGGTAAAAATTGATAATTTATTCACAAGTAATAGAACTAACATGTAACAACAAATCTAAATAATTTAACTTTACTAGACCTTTGATTGATGGGCAAAACTTGAAATGGTTGATGAGGAAAGCGGTTGAGTTTCGATTGTCAAAAATCAAAATGATCGACGAAAGGCTAAGACTTAAGAGGTCACTAGTGAAAGAGGGATCGATGTGATTATGTGAGGTGAGAACTCGAAGGATCTCAATTTTGTGACTATAAAGACTTACTAAGGAAAGCTAGAGTGAGAATGGGTGTGAAGACTCAATTTTTTTAGGTGTAAAGATCACGATAGCTCTGATACCACTTGTTAGGTAAAAAAGCCCATAATCAATTAATCATCCAAGCCTATAGAAGTATAATCAAATAATTAATTATTCACACAAGAAATAATAATTTAATATAGTTTAACCCAACCAACTTAGGTCCAAGAATGAGAAAAATTATCCATTAGTTGTAAAAAATTACAAACAAAAAAATTGTATCAATCAACATTCTTAATCAATACTCATAAATTTTTTTATTCTTTTTTAGTTTTATAGAGTATTTTTAATCTAAACAAACGCATACTCTTATGCACCTATACATTACACTTATGTGAACCAACTTATTCTCTTCTAATTCACTCAAACATACTAAGAATGTCAATGGATAGGGAATGGGTAAGGTCAAGCACTTTCCATTCCTATCCCCAAATTTTTATATTATATAGATCTGTGTATCCATACCCAATGGATATTTTAATATATCCGCATCTTTATCTCTGCAGGTTTTTAATGAGTATGGGTAATCCCCATACCTGTAGCTTTTAAAAAAATTAAAACTAATTTTTTTTTAACTTTTTTTATCTTGTATATTTAGATAATTTTTTTATAAACATATATTAACATATTTTTTCAATAAAAATATATTAATTCTAATTAATCTAAAATAATAAATTATATTATTTAATAAAAAATCTATTTACTAAATATATATAATATCTATAGGATATAGGTATGGGATAGGTACTATATTACCCATCCTTATCCCTATATGCACAATATAACACGCATCCATGTCCCCATTTGGATAAAAAAATGGGTTTCCCATTAGGTATAGGTAAGATTGACATTCTTAAATATACACACTCATGAAGAAATCAATATTTTGTAGTCCTATGAGGTATCTATTCAATAAAATCCTATAACATTTTTACACATTTTTTTATACCTAATCCTATAAAAACTCCACTTATTTATATATATACAAATTTGCCTATCAAAAATCTCTTTACTTTTAAAACTATTCTTCTACAAGTCTTCTTATTCATCAAGTAATATCTAACTATTCTTAAACATATATGTTATAGGATTTGAGTCATTATTCCCAACAATTGTCACTTTGACTCAAATTTCATCAAATCATCTTCATGCTAGACATGCTTACCTCAACCTACAATGAAAGTCTCATAATAATCTTCTCTTGGGTCTCCTTACTTTACGCAAACTAATCCTCAACACACAAACTCAAACCCTTCCCTTGAATTAAGCTTCTTTGGGATTGCCTTTCTCATGTATCGAACCTACGCTCTAATATCATTTATTAGAATCACAATAACTTTGATGCCACTTATTAAGCAAAAAAACCCTTAATCAATTAACAAGTTAAGCCAGCGAAAACATAATTAAACAATTAATAATCTCATAAAAAGACAATAATTTAATGTGATTTAGCTCAATCGACTTATGTCTACAAATGAGAAACGAGATCCACTAGTTGAAAAAAATTATGAATAAATAAATCATATCAATCAATACTTTTAATCAATAATACCCATATACCCTTTTATTCTCTTCTAAATCTATGAAATATTCTCAACCTAAATAAATACATACTTATGTATACCCATACAACATACCTATATAGACCATCTTATTTTTTTTAGTCCACTCAAACATACATATCCATAAAGATGTCAATCTCTTGTAGTCTTATGAGGTGTCTACCCAATAAAATCTTATAATTCTCTTACATTTGTTTCTCATACCTAGCACTATAAAGACTCTACTTATTTATAAACAGATAAACTTACCTATTAAGAATCCCTTTACTCTTAAAATTTTTCTTCTATAAGTCTTATTATTTATTAAGTAATATATAATCAATCCTAAACAAATCTAATATTAGATTTAAGTCATTATTTCCAACATTAAGGATGTTGGATTGTTGGCATCAGTTATGAATAAGGTGAGACTATGAGAGAATGGTTGTTGAATAAGTGTATTGTGAGGTGAAAAGAGGCGAAGAGAATAGGTTCAAGAGTGAGGTTGAGTTTTAATTTTAGGGACGTGGTTTTAGACTTTTAATAAAGAAAATGATAAAAAAAATGTAATAAATATTTTTAAATTTTATAAATAATAAAATTGGTTTTCTCGATAAGTTCGGGTGTCAAAAACTATACACAAAAACCTACCGAATAAGCTATTTAAACCGCACCTCAATTGAAATATTCATATTACCAGAATGAGCTGAATTGATTTAGCTCAAATTTTGGATTTCAATCGGATTAGTCCGTTATACTTGAATTATGCTCTCCTAAACAAATTAATCAATAAATTAGAATATAATTATATAAATTTAACATAAAAATAAACTAAATCTACATATAATAAGATTTTATATGGTTCTAAAATTACTTCCTTCTTTCCACGACTAAAAATTTTATTATGACTAATTCTCTCCCGTATATTATCATAATATGTTTTATAATATGTAAGAAAAGAAAGCTAATTAAAATATTACTATAATTGAGCTTAACTTTGAAAATGCAGGTTAATTAAAGAGCATTGAGCATGACAAAGTGAAGGGATTTTTGCTACAAAATACTACTAATAATATTTACAACATATTAAACGAGGAAAATGTTCATATAGATATAGAAAAACTGGCATGGCATGAACAGACCATGCAGCTCTTACATTTTATAACAAACTTTTATTAGTTTGGATTCAGCTATCAACATATTTGTCAATGGTAGCAGCCAAGGTAGACTTAGACACTGCCCCGATGACGCTCTCTTTCTTCTCTCCATCCTTGAAAAACAGCATGGTTGGGATGCTCCTAATTCCGAACTGTGTGGCAATGTTTGGGCTCTCATCGGTGTTGAGCTTGTAACAAGCAATCTTTCCAGCAAATTCTTTGGCTAATTCAGCGATGACAGGCTCAATCATACGACAGGGTCCGCACCATGGTGCCCAAAATTCCACCAGAACAGGAGTTTTACTGCCAACGACAAGCTCTCCCCAGTTCGCTTCTGTCACCACGTCAACTGCAGAGTGCAGAAAATGCATCTGATTCTAGCAATAATATAATTTACAACTTTAAATTTTCATTCATGCTAGCTACAATTATGCTTCTTTTGAAAGGCATGGTTCATAGAGGAACTAATCTTTAACCATCTGAATTGGCCATGAGATACATGTCAATCCCATTGCTAAAATTTGAATCAAATATCTAACAAAATAGCAGCATACCTGCATCAACAGCTTCACGAGCTTTGCAGATGAGCCTGGATTTTTGGCATCTGCCAGTGAATGAATGAGCAAAAGATGAAGATGAAGTGAATGATAAATTTGGTTTACAATTATTCAACCCTCTAAATGTCAGCAAATGAATCTTCTCAGCAGAAGAAAAATGATGGTAGCTTTGCAGAACACTAGCTTTAGTGGTGGAAACGGAGCTCAATTGGAAACAGTGTTCCAGAGCCATCCCTGGCTCTTCCCTGAGAGTCTTGGAAGAATGATAAATGCTAAAAGATATGGCCTTGCAGGAGTGAATTTTTTTCTTGGGGGCCTATTTTGAAATTTCTGGCATAATTTAGAAGTGGATATTCTTTCGAAGAAAATAAAAATTGTGAGGTGCTGGAAAGAGTACAAATTCATGTGGATAACATTTGATATTTAGTGAATTTTACATTGAGAGAAAGGAAAATCATAAGGCAGTGGAGAGAGACTACGCAGGAGTTTCCTCTGTGGTAGAGACCTCACTTTAGTTGACCATTTACCTCTCATCCATTAGGCAAATTGTAGGCCCTACTTACATTGGATGGCCTTAGGCCCTTTGCTAGGTACGGGCATTTTTGAACTTTTAACTGTGGCCTTTTCAATGGGCTCTGACCTCTAAGAATGTCCAAATTAAGCTGCATGCTTTCATGTCAAACATATGAAATTAAGTGAATTTATAACTTCTTTTTAGGAAATTGAATGTAATTATTTTTATTAAGTGAACGTGCTTTTAATTGTTACTAACAAAGAACAATGATCAATTTTCATAAAGACGAAAGAGAAAAAAAAAAAAGAAAGAAACTTTCATGATACTCATATTTTGTTTCGAGGAAAAAACATAAAACAAAAAATTGTTTATAAAAAATTACATTTAATAAATTTAAATTTTAAATTCTAATACTTATAAATATTTTTTTTATGGTCGTTTTTTCAATATCTAAACTGCAGCCTCTTTTTATATAGATAAAAAGACAAACAGACATTCGTATTTCAATGTCACATTTCATAATTTGCCATTTTTAAAGGATTTTGGATTCTTTTATGCTTGCCTTCTATGATGTTCTTGTTGAGGAATATGGAGATCAACCAGAGGATTTGTATCAATGTTCCTACAAGATATACAGAGCTCATGCTCGTAACAAATTCATGACTGGGGTAATCAAATCTTGCTTAAGAGGTGGAACATTACACTACTTGAAGCTTCTTGGAGGTGACCAACCTGGCCCTAGTAATCTGTCACTATACCAAACAGACAAGCAGGTACCATGAAATAAAATAAGAAGCTACAATATTAAAGCCTTGAAATTTAAATAGATTTACAAACCCAACATCGCAAACAAATAAATGCATCTTAGCATTTATACCCTTTCAATTCTGGATGAATCAGCTTATATATATATATATATATATGATCTGGCTTTCTATACGAATCAGTCTGCGTCAGGGGAGATAATTTTAATCACCATAAACAATTTTTGGTTTAAATTAATATATATTCTATGTTTTTACTGCAAATCAGACTGAGTTTTAGACACAAGTCAAAACGAATAATCCTGCAAATCTGACTTCGAGTCGCTCATTTCCATATCAGCTAAGCACTCTTCCGCAGTAAGAGGAGGAAGTTGCCTGGTTTTGCGTTTTAAATTATGCTTGTGCCACTCACTCTTAAAGTGATCCCTATACTGTTTGGAATCCCCCACAAATGCGTCGCATGTGCTACACTTGTGTTGCTTTACCTCCTCCTCAGCATTCCCATTTCCTGAAGAGATGGTCTGTTTTTGCATTTTCTCACTTAGTTGAAGCTCCACATCAGTAGATTCCTGGGGTAGACGTGATGGCACTGAATCGGCAGATTTCTTGGGTGGATGTGATATATCCTCGTCATCATATTGATCAACCTGGGTATCTCCCTCAGCATGCACAGACATTGCAAGTATTTCCAACCTACCCTGTAAATTCCTCACGAGGGCATCACATTCTCGAAAAATTCCTGGTTCCATTTCACAAATCTGAACAATAATCAAATAGGAAGCTTGAGCACTTGAAGAAGAAAATGATAACATAAAACGTAAAGCACACTTCAAAAGATATCAACCAACAACTGTACAGCTCAGTCACTTAGCAAAGCTAATTTAACCCCAAAAGTTAAATGCAGTGACAAAAACAGGAGTGGTTGACAAGTACAGGCTGCTAATCATAAAATCTTTGAGATATGTAGCTCATAATGATTCCACAAACCTTTTCAATATGACCGATGCAATAAGCACACATCTACATTTATGTATCACTACCAAAGTAGGAGTTGTTGATGAATTTTATGTTTATGCCCAGTGGAAAAAAGGAAAGTTACTTGTGCAAGACAGCATGAAACAATTAAAACAATGCATTCATGAGAACAAAAATTCTCTACTGGATACAAGTTTCTACCTACCTGATAAGGTTTATGCTTATGTATGGAAATATACATCTTCCTCTTGTTTTGCTTCACACAAGGAGCTACACTACTACAATCATTTAAAAAAAAAAGAACAGAACTAGCAACATCATTCAAGTATCTAAAAAAAATGGCCCTGACTTCCTCGTTATCCCACAGTTTCAACTTCCAAGAGAATCATGCTGGCAGTCTTGAAAATAATTTTATTGGATTAAATTCATAACATTCAAATAACTAGCAAACAGAAATACTAGAGGTACCACCCATTTGTAGCAAGCCATCGAACTACTTCAATATTTGAGCAAGTAATGCAACAATTGCAGACAACTTAAAACCACAGGTATGAGTAAAAAATAAAATAACTAAAAGAAGAGTCAAAACACTTCTCATGGCAATAGAGGATGCAGAAAGTACACAAATAATAAACTGACTAAATGAAGAGTCACACAGTTCTCCTCATGGCAATAGAAAATGCTGCAAGTCTCTGGACTTACAACCGATGGCTGACTTCCGGATTCATCTTTTGAAACGGTGGTAGCACTCCATTCATTCAGCTTCTCACAAAGAGAATGTAAATTTTGTCCAGGAACAGTGAGTCGTAATCTCATGGGAGACCGTTTTATAGGAAAGTTCTTTTGAAGCTCACGAATAACCTCTAGTGCCTGTAAAATATAAACCATTAGGCTAGGAAGACAATCCAAAACCAGGATAAGATACCCAAATTTCAACAACAACAATACTATTTCAATGACCAACTCTATGTCAGCCACCATTTCACTCATCTAAATATGGACGGAATTTTCGAGCACTTGCCATCAAATAAAAGAAAAGTTAACTTAATAGTTAATATCATAGATGCTAAATAAATTAAAATGCGTTTCTCAATATGACATGAAAATTGAATTAAAATAAAAAGATTCATCAGCTTTTTTTCGCAGAATGCATAGCTAGATACTTTAAAATACTTCAAAAAAAAAAGAGACCTGCTTCTTGGAGCTACTATGGGGATCAACCGCGAAATGAATTTCGTGCATTAGTCTCTCAATCATATTAATAGTATAAGGGCGTTGAGTTTCAGGATTGATAGTCTTTTGCATAACAATCGTGGCGACATCCCGAAACTGACTTGAAAATTGAGATTCCCTTTCCTTCCCTGCAATTTGTAGCTCCCCTTTCTCCAAAATCTACCACCCAACCAACCAAACAAAACAAACACCCTCCCATCAACAAACAGAAAATAAACCAAAATTACTTTCTTTTTTTAAAAAAAAATTGAAACTAGAATTACCTCTAAACAAATTTTAGTCTGATCATCAGTCCCGAAAGCGGCCACCAAATCTTTGGTCTTAGCCAGTACTCCTTTCGAAACATTTGAGTAAACTGTGTGGGACTGTAACACTTCGTCCAAATCCTTCTCACTGTTGCAAATAAAAGAAAATTTGATAAACTTAACCAAATTCAGAAAAAAAATAACAGATTAAACAGTTTTATACAGAAGTTGTTGACTTACACCCGGGAACGCCAAGAGAGGACTTTGTTTTTGTAGCAAGCGATTTCGAATCGTAACCCGTGTTTCTTCAAACGCACGACGGCGACGTTCGTGAGCCGCTTTTGCCCGATCGGCTGCACCAGCGTTTTCGACATTTTTCTCTCGCCGCTTCTTTCTCGTGCACCTTCGCTTCTCTATTCAATCATCCAGATTTTATAGGGTATGTTTTAAGAGCTCAAAACGCACCGTTTTTGTACCATAAACGGCTCGTCATCCAAAAACCCGGTTTAGTCCAACGCTAATATAAGGGTTCACACTTTTCAAGCGCTGTGCTTTTCCAGTTCCCATCTGCCGAATTGCCCACACTTCATACAAAGTTCTTTTCTTTTTCTTTTTTTTGGTTCTCAGTAAAAACTCAGAGGAGAAAGGAATAGGAATTTTTTTTAAGAAAATGTCGTCTCTAAAGCAAAAGAGTGAAGGGGCAACTGCGGAGGAGGAAAATAAGGAGATCTCTAATTTCTTTGATATCTATGGACCTCAAGTACTATGTTTTTCTCTCGCTTTCAAATTTTCTGTATTGAATTTATTATTTGCTAATATAATGGAGAAGAAATGATAGTTAAAGCCTACCCTTTGCAGGCAAAAGCAGAAATTGTTTTCAAGACACCAGAAACTAACTCTACCTTGAATTTGCAAGTAAGCTTCTTAAAACTGACTTCAATCTTTTCTTTTTTTTCTAATCAATCAACTGCTGACAAAGTAACAGACATAGAGTTAATATGTTGGGTATTTTTGTTTTGATACCAGGATGTTCAAGGACTTGTTACCTGGGTTCTTGCCGATGGATTCATGCCTTCCTGGGTTTTTATTAAGGTAAAGAATATAATTTAATTTATTGCTCCTACAACTTACTGGTTTCCTGTGGAACAAAATGTTTTCTTGTTGGGGTTTTATAAGAGAAAATGTTTCTTTTTTATATGGTTTGCAGAATAAGCCACTGATTCCGAAAGTTGTTATGCTTTATGTCCCTGGCCTCGATGCAGCTTTGTACTTAGCACATTCCATGAAACTTTCTGGTTTTAAACAAAGTTGCGGTAATCCCCGGGCACTTTTAGCTCTTAGGTTCGTAATGATTTTGTTTCTGCATTTGTTTTCTATCAGAATATGTTTAGTTTTATCTGCAATGTATTGTTTTTACAAGTTCTGTTATTATTATAGCTGTGTATCGGATGGGATGCAGACGATAGATGCACTCCTAACGTGCAAGGTGAAAAGAAAGAGAAATGTAATTGATTCAGTGAGGGATGCAGGCCAGTCCGCTGAACAAGGTTCATGACCTGTCTTTGCACAGTCCACTCTTTTGTTTGCATTAGTTTCTTACATGTTTATTGGAATTAGGTACTCTACAGGGTTAATAGGTTTTCAATATAGGATTGTCAGTCCAACTTGTGTGAGTAGAAAAGCAAAGCCTGGTGAACATAAACATGGTCATGTACTAATCTGAGTGTCTTAACTAATTTTTGTGGGGCAGGAAGAAGTTATTCAAATTGTTTCACTTCTGTTGTTAGTGGTGTTCCCGGTTCTTGACTGTTCATTCTGGGTTGGGCTGCAATCCTCTTTTTGGGTTGCATTCATTAGTTTCGTTGTTACATCATGTTAGATCAATTTATTTACATGTTAAATTGTGAATCATTTAAAAGAAAATTGGTATTGGGAGATAACTTCTCATGAGAAGAAAAATATTCAAATAAGTAGAAATCTAAACTGATAAACTATTTTGTTCAATTATATAATAGCTAACACATTCAGGTGTCAGGTGTCTTATTCCTTTCAAACTTGTACATTTCTATCATAAATAATTTCTCACCATCATGATTAGAAATTTTCTTTTGCCAGGTCTATATTTATTAAAGAGTTATGTTTAAAGGATGAAACAATTCCTTTGATGTTTCATAGTTTATGATGCCTCTTAACAATCTTTTTTATTGCTTTCAGTATCACAGCATTACAATGTTGTTTTTACTAATATCTTAACTTATTTGAGGATCTCTTCCAACGTATAATATGTTGATAATAGAATAACATCTTTATGCAGAAACATCTATCTCTTTAATGGACTCTGCAGAACTCTTGAAAGATATTCCTTTCCCCATTACATATTATACACTTACAACAAAGGAACTAGAAGACAATGGATATTGTCTTAATCAACCAGGTCAGAATAATGTTCTTCTCTGACTGTCACATATAGGTTCCTTTGCATATTAATCTTGCTTCTTCATTGCTTAAATGTCCTTCGTTCATTTTTGGATTTGTTCTATGCAGGTTTTGAATCTACTCTTCCTGCTCCTGATGGGTCTTCTCTTTATGAATTATTGTCACTTGACTGTGAAATGGTAAATCCTACATGTCAGTTACAACTTAAATATAATTACATTTTTTCCGTTTGTAATGAAATGTGATATAATTGTGTAAACTATTAGTTGGAGAGTATAGAGTGATAAGATATTGTTCCTTTCTTCTGAAGAAGTTAAATTCATTTATTCATGCTTAATTTTAGTTTTTCTGCAAACTTTTTACTCTTTTAGTTGGTGAGAGGATTACATGCAAGCTTGAGTGCTCTGCCTTCTAGAATGGCCTTGAATTGCCTTGATAGGCTTATTTGTCTTCAGACTCGCCTGTAGTTTGGAATTAGTCTGTATAATCTTGCGTCAGGTTCTCTATCAATAGTCTTGTATCACTTGCCTAATATTGAATCAACTAAAATTCATCTCCAGTCTAAATTATTCGAATTGTTTTCTTGGGTTGAAATGAAAATTTTTATTTACTCTGAACAGATTGAGCTTCTTTTTGGGTCCTGCTATTAAGTTGTCATGTATTCATATAGTTAAATTGTATGCTCACCATATGATGAGCTTGCGTATTTCTTCTCATTTTTGTCTTCTTGCTTTCATGTGTTAGTGTATAACAAGTGAGGGTTTTGAGCTGACAAGAGTGACCCTGGTCGATATTAAAGGACAGGTATGTTAAACAGAATCTCTTCCATCTCTTTGTTCTTTTAATTCCCATTTCAATTTATAGCTAACTATTTCTTTGTAGTATGGTCTTCTCAGATGCATATTTAATTTCATTTATACAACTTTGCTGGTGGCCTATAATTGGCATTTAATGCATCAAATACAGCTTACACCTCGTATCTTTTTTCAACGGATTTTATTCCTGAACTTTTTATTCATTTCCATAAAAAAGAGAGAAAAAAAAAAAAAAGGAGTAAACCATCTTCTTATCACTGCATCATGTTGATGGTTCAATTTTATATGTTTCTGTTCTGTCTTGTTCCAAGAATTTAAAACTTCATTAGGTTTATCCTTATCCTAGGTAAAGAAATTCCTTAATAGGGTATTGGTCTCTTTAAATTGATTATATGTAGCTATCCCTCATTTGCTCTACTAATACCATGATGCATTTTTTTGACAGGTTGTATTAGATAAATTGGTTAAACCATCAAACCCTATCACTGATTACAACACAAGGTAAATGTTATTTGAACAATTGTGGTTAGGCCTTAGTAAAATTTTGTTCTTGAACTGCAGGCATAGATGAGAAGCTGTAGTTGGATGCTGGCAAAGGCATTTTAGTTTATGTATTTTATTTTCTGATACATGAAAATTATGTTTCTTTTGTCTACTATCTCTTTAGTATCATGTGACTGGCATAGAAATTAGTTGTTCTAATTTTTCTTTTGTGAAAATTTATCCCGTTCCAATTCACATGTGCCAAATTGTTTGTTTGAACTTGTATTGACAGTTTTGACATCTTTGGTGATCCAACTCTGAGATCTCTCTCTATATATATGACATACGCGCACTTTATTATTTCCAATCAATAAGCATTTCATAATCTTCTTTAATGCTTAAGCAGGTTTAGTGGAATCACATATGAGATGCTGAGTGGAGTGACTACAAGTCTTAAAGATGTTCAGGTTGATTGCCCTTTGTTTACCATCACTAATTAATGGCACCATATTTTACTGCACTCTTCTTATATGAATTTTCCATTAAAAAATATTTGTATATGAGTTATTTACAGTTGCTTCCCATCTTCAGGAAGATTTTCTAAAGCTGGTTCACAAATATACCATCCTAATTGGGCACTCCTTGGAGAATGACTTATTAGCTTTGAAGATTTCTCATGATTTGATAATTGATACCTCTGTATTATACAAACACCCTCGTGGTGGATCTTACAAAGCTGCTCTTCGAGTTCTTGCCAAGAGATTTCTCTCTAGGGAGATTCAGCAGTCAGGGACTGGACACGATAGTATTGAAGATGCAAGGGCTGCTATGGATTTGGCTCTGTTAAAGATTAGAAATGGCAAGTGATTCTTTTTTATGCTTAAACATTTCATCATCAGTAGATAAAATTTGATATTTAACTAGAGTCCAAGATTGGCAAAAAAAAGAAATAGTCTAAGGAATGTAGAACCCAGAAAATTTGTTCATTGATTAGGTTCTTTTACTTTGTGAACTCAAATATACCTTATAGCTAGGAGATATATCATATGATTAGTTTTGTTTCCTGATGTGGGAATTTATATTTAAATTCTTACAATGTCTTTGCTTCCTGTGTTAGGACCTGATTTTGGTTTGCCACCATCATTTATGCGCCGAAAGCTCCTTACTCTTTTGGGTGAGTGTGGCAAGACCTCCTCTTTCATTGATGATATTTCCATAGTGAAGCGATATGCTTCGGAGTCATCCCATGCAATTCCAATTTGCACTGATGATGAAGCTCTTTTAAAGGCTAGAAAAGAGGTAAGACTGCATTTTGATTTTCTGTGATACCTTCTCCTATACAGGCTTGCTTATCAACTTCTTGCATTTATTTGTTGTGGTAGGTCAAGAATGATCGTATACACTTTGTCTGGACACAATTTTCAGAACTGAATTCCTATTTCATAAAACAAGCCGAGGATGATGTAAAGTTAAATGCAAAACTTGCTGAAATGATTTCATTGCTTACATGTAATAAGAAATCTGCTAGTCGAAAAGGAACCAAATACAGTGTTTCAACTGAGCTAAAGGAAATTTTAACTCGCATTGATGCTAGGGTTCGTAGTCTCCACGCTGCGTTACCCACTAACTCGATGTTTATAATATGCACCGGACATGGGGACATATCCATTGTTCATAGGTAGGTTTTCAATACCTGTCACTCATATATTATGCAATGTTTCTTTATCTTTCTCTTAAATTAATTCAAATTAACATATGTCACTCAGAGGAAAGTACAAGAATGGGGCATGGGTTTGTGTCTGACACACTGCATTCTATTTTTTGTGAGTTTTTTTTCTGTAGAGGGATACTTTTTCCTTGTATGTGGTGGTTATGCCGTCATACACATCTACTTTGAAGTTTTCAGTGTCTGAGAAATGAGAAAAATACATCACGAAAAATCAAGAGTCTGAATGATGCAGAAATTAACTAAGGGAGTTCAATGCCCTTATACTCTTTCCTTGTAAAGGTTGTAACATGGAAAGATTTGATGCCCACATTTTAACAGTCGGATGTTAGAGCTTATGGCTTTTGTCTTATATGCTGGAATCAGTTTCATTTGCTGGCAACTTTTCAAGTTACCATATTTGCATTGTTTATTACTTCAGCATGTTGGTGCAATTATGTGTAATTAGTAAGCTCTTGCTCTCGGGATAATTGTGAGCTGCTTCCACATGATATTGTTTTTCATTTTCCTCTATTTGCTAAGTAATGTTGATGAAGTTCCTTAAGAAAAAAGAATGCTGATGAAGTTAAAACGTGGGGCAGCTTGTGGTTACTGCCTCATGAATGCTTAGTTTTCTTAACTTCCTATTGAATAAGGTTGCATGTATTCAATCGCTGCTGCGAATTTATGTTGTGCCTATTTAATGGAAATATGATTGACCCATGATTTCAATAATTAGCTTTTCGTTCAAACTTTAGTTACCTTTGAATTTTTTAGTTGTAATATCATTTTTCCTTGTCCTTTTCATGTGCATGGATGGAGATTGAGGAAAATGTTGACAGAGCAATGTGAAACAATGGTGCCCCGTGAGAAACTTGTAAAGGTATTGGAAGAGCTGCAGGCCCAGGCTGAAGTAGCTTTATGTTTTGTTGGCATTAAGCATTAGGTATACCATCCACTACTAATGTATCTTGCATTTTTCAAGAGTGATGAGGAATGCTCATGTAAATTTTGAGGCTGTTACAGTTTTTACAATGACAATCATTGTTTTGATGCTGTTGTCCCCTCCATCCACCCAGAAAAGGAAAAATGTAAAAGGTGGTTATTTTATTCGCTACTGGGAAAAGTTTTTAATCTTTTATGAAATTCTATATTTGCGAGCGTTTATGAAGAGATATTCTCTTTTCTTTTCTTTTTTGGTCGCCTTTGTTGTTGTTGCTTGTTTCACTCAGCGTGCATCGGAGGCCTGCAGAAGGTTAATGGGAGAGTTTGGACTATCAAGCCATCTACACATTAAAAATCATTTAAGACAAGATTTTTGGATTTAATCAGAAAGTTAAGGGTTGTCCCGACAAAATTTCTAGTGTTCAATTCAATTAAAATTTTCCATTTTGGAGTTATCACGATAAAACCTTGATGTAAACGAACATTCTTAATTGAAGATATCTACTCAGGTTATATTTTAATCCAATTTGATTTCTCTAGAATTGAATAATTGACTTTATTCAGATTTCCTGTACCATTTCCCTCAAGGTCAAAATGAAGAAGATTATATGGTTTTAAATATGTAAAGCAAATGGAAACATATGGTATTCAATAAAATGTTAGATAATTAGCAATCCCTACTCATCCCTGAGATTTTACATCAGCACAAAAAAGAAAAAGTCTTCTTCCGGAGCAACTTAAATAATACATCGGTGTGCATCTGGATTCTGGATCCCACACAAAATTATAGTAACAATGACCATACTGAACTAAATTATAGCCAGATACCGGAAAATTAACATTAACCTGATAATTCTACCTCCATGCTGAAGCAACAATCAAGTTTTTGTCTTCCCAACCAAAATGAAGCGCGCCTAACTCCTCCTTCAGCTTGTACCTGTCACAGTACTCCCTGATAAGCTTCCGAATCATATCAATCACATTTGGACTCATTGGACTAGAAGTGAAGCCAGCCATCATCATCCTTGCCCTCCACTTTCCTGCAACCTCGCATCGTTCTATTCTTTCTTCTCCCTCACAAGCAACAATGTTGACAATATCCCGTGCCAGGCACTGCCTTTCAACATTCATCCTGTCCTGACTCTCCCTTGGAAGCGTCGCATCCAGAGACTCAAAGACAGCAGAGTAGTAACTATAGGCTTCAACAAACCTTGGGAGAAAAGGTGATGTGTTTGTGTTCACATCTTGCTCGACAACAGTAACAAGTTTTGGATTCAAGCTCTTAACCATTCGAAGGAGCTGGTCTCGCTGATTTATTGTTGAAACACTCTCATCAGGCATATGGTGGAGTTGCAATGCAAAGTTTACTATAAGTGCTTCACCTGGCTGGCAATCCAACATAGATGGAGTAACAAGTGAAGTCCTTGAGGCAACGGCTTGAAACTCAAAGGGCACACCAAGTGCTTCTGCTAGCTTCTCAAGTCTTAGTCCAACAATTTCAAGACCTCCGTTAAGACGTTGAACTGACTCAGGGTCATCAACCCCAGTTAACCTCAAGTGAGGCAGCTTATCAGGCCGCTTAGCGATTGTTTGAATCAGTGTAATATATTGACTACCTTGATTTATGTCAAAATCTATTATATGTATTCTCTTTTCATCTTTAAATGCCTCTATAATTGCACCATTTGCTGCCATAAATCCAAATTTAAAACAAGGGCACACTTCAAAGAGGATCTGCATAGCTGCAAGCCTATCAGAAGAAGGGGGCTCTTTGCATCTTAAAGCTTTATAAAGATATTTTCCAGATGAAGCCATGCGAGCTGCAAGACCTTCAACCATGTAGGCTGCAATTCTCTGAGGAGGATCTCCTTGAATTGAGACCATTTGGCGGAGCTGATTTATTATGGCTGAAGCTTCTTCAATGTTGCCTTCTGAGAGTATAGCAGCACACTCAATAAGCATTTGCTTAGGAGTACGAGATGGACGAACATGTGAAACCTCTTTGTTGCTGCAGATGCTACTGAGATTAGAATCTGAAGATGATGACTCCTTGGGTGAGTCATGGAGCAATTCTGTCCTGATAGGATCAGACAATTCAACATCTATTTCCATGCTTAGACCATTGCCAAACATGTCATCATCTTCATCAACATCATTATCAGCAAGCAGAGCTCTCTCCAGTTCTTGAAGTTTCAGTTTCATCATATCTGTATCAGAGTCTAATGTATCTGGGCTTTCAATTTCCAAGTAATCTGAATAAAAAAATTGGATTGAAAGATATTAGGGCACTGTATTAATAAAACATATGTGTTTAATGGTTTTGACCAATTATCGAGAAAACTGAACTACCTCTTAGCTGGTAAGAAGAGACATCCTGTGGGTGAAATGAACCTCCTGAAATCCCAGAACTAGATGGATGTATAAGCTCTTCCGAAGGAGAGTCAATGAAGTACTTCTCATAGCTCTCACTGCTGTAAGAATCAGAAATGTATACGGGCTTATGCTTATCAGAGCCAAAGATTTGACTGGACAAGCCAGAACTGTTACTACTACCCTGTATTGAATAGAGCTTTGTATTTCTGTATGCAGCAGTAGCTCGTTTTGCAGACCTTACTAAAGACATGGTTTCAACTCTCTGGATGGTTGTATTATAAAATGAATCCTGCAGAACAAATTGCAAGTAGAAATTAAACAGCTGTTTGTCTCAGATTCTTAGTAGGAGGAACCTAGTAGGCACACTGATGTAAGACACGAAAAAGAAAAGACTGCCCCTTAAAGTAAAACTGTTATCAACTTTGGATAGCTTACTGAGTAACATGAGATAATCTGCACTATATGACGAGTCATCGGTGGCAAGGTAAGGCAAGTTAGCACAAAACGGGTTACCCTATGTAAGAAATGGACCACATCACTTTTTATTTGTTGGAAGACATAAATGCTTCCTTGCAGCTATATTTAGATTTCAAATAACTAGGAAATTGTAATTCCTTCATTGTTTAGCTCTGACCATAAGATAATTTAAGTTCGATCCAGGAGATCACATGTGGGGATGGTGAAAGGTGAAGTAATATGGTCCAAACCAATTATGTGGGAAACATTCTACTTTTCCCAGTTATCAAGTGTAGACATTGGTAGAGGAAAAAGAAGTCAGGTAGGGTGAAAGGGACCGGAAATGTAACTGGGGATATTTTTTCTTTTTATATCCCACAATATAATTTCTGCATCCCAAGACAAGAAGCATCTTAAAAAGGATGCACCATGGACTGAGATAACTAATTAATAGAACATTTTGCCCACAAATTGCTATCATCATTAACATATAAATAACAGAGAAGGTAGATAATCTATGATGCTGAAAGCACAGAATAGGATTGGCAGTGCTTCAGGTTTCTGACAAGGACCAAATTCAAGGTTTCAAGCAAATCTAATTTTGAAGGAAAAAGAACTGGTTTTTTTTATTATTATTATGGTCGGCATATGATAAGAACAACAGGCAACATACAGGGGACAGATAAACATTCAAATTCTGAGGTTTCTGACATACAAACCGATCAAGAGGATCACAACATACGTAAACAATTTTAAAACACGTTACTGATAGTATATCAATTGAAGGCTTCACAGTCAACTAAAAGTGAAAAAGAAGAAAAAGAAAATGAATGATGATCAAAACTACAAGGCTTTCTCCTGTACCTGATACATGAGAAAAACCTCAAGAGGAAACAGCAAAGATCATTATTTCTACAGTCAAATCCTGCAATTCAGCGGATAATCCCAGATAAAGATGAGCCTCAGAATTGTGTTTAAAGGGAGAAGAAAAAAAAAGCTTTGACCTTGTTTTCAAATAATTAAATACCAACCCAAAAGCAAATATACCTCCTTTATTGTTACACTTTAATTCTATATTAAAAAAAAAGAAGAAAACTTTGGATTATGAGGTTAGGTATGACTGAAAGCAACAAACCACACACAACAAACCCCAACAAAGAAGTGGAAACAAAACCAAACTCGCAACAAAGAAAAATAAAGAAATAAATAAAAGAACGGGTTTTTAGCTAACATATACAAGACTCTGAACAGATCAATATTCCATGAACCCAGTTGCAACAACAAGAAGATCAGACATGAAAACAAAATCCAATCTTGAGGAATCTAAAGCAAAAGCATGAAAAAAAGAAAAGTAGTGGGGAACTCACCTCAAACGATTTTTCTTACTTTATTTAGCAGAAACTTCTTAGTTTCATCACAAGACTTCTCTACCTCTTAAAACAGTTTTCTTTCATTTTCTTTTGGGGTTTTAGTCTGCATGTTTATACCAACTTGTCTGACTGAGAGACGCTGTTTGACAGACTAATGTCATGCTCTCTCTTTCTCCTATGGTGTGGTCCAATAGCACCATCATTGGTTCTTCTTTTTTAATCATTCAATCCTCACCGCATGCTAAATTTCAGTTATCTACACTATCTTATTAAATTATAAAAAAATTACTACTCTACTTTTTATGTTCATTTTACTCTAATTTTAAAAGGGGTTCTTATTTCAACCAAAAAAATTTTAGTTCTGGAATTTGTGTAGAACTTTTGGTTTCAAGTTCGAAAGTATTTTTTAATTCAACCAATTCCCAATTGTAAATTTGTTCGAATACTTCAGCACTTTTTATAGTAAAATTTACGTCATTTTGACATTTTCAATGATGTTAGCTCTGCTTTTTTAAACAGATGAGATAAAAGGCGGGTCGACAAGTGAAAATTCAGCGACTATGAAAACAATTGTACGGTACTCCTTATGGGAAAATAGTGCAAAACTTTTCTAGAAATGGTAGTGCCCTTGGATTATCAACATAAGAGCTGTTACAGAATCATGATGCTTGATTGCCTATGACTAAGTCAAAGTTGAGCAAGTTTTTCAAAACGCGTGCATGGATGAAATTATTAAAAGACAGAAGAGAAACAACTCCAGAAATTTACCTACAAACTGATCTTTGTGGCTAAAACACGTTGAAACTCACAAGTACGGAAGATGGGAAGTATGGAAGATGGGAAATAGTCGTCGCTGAAATTGTGAATTTTTCTTCTCTATTTACTGGTGAAAAAAAAAAGTCTGATTTACCAAGAAATTTGGTGGCTTTTTTTTTTCTTTTGTAGAATTCATTATTTTCTTCTTTTTTCTCCGTTTAATTGTCCGGTTTTTAAATACATAGATATTATGAATTTACTAATAAATTCTCTCGCGACAACATTTCAAATTTTATTTTTATTAAAGATTCGATTTTGTACTACCGGAATTTGAATAATTTTTTGTGGATAGAAAATGCATAAAATTATTATATTTATGAGTGTTAAATTTTTAAATTTCGAAAATGAAATTACATTATTATTGTATATTTATTTAATATTAAAT